GGAGAAGGGATTGCGGCGTGGCCATCCCCCCTGGGGGGTGATTTCTCACTTTCTGTCCCTCTGTCTCTCTCTGTCTATCTGGCAAGTGCACACGTTTTATAGCAAAAACTTCTCCAAAAAAAAAACCATAAAAAAGGTAGAAAAAAAGACTATCTAATGTTTTGTGTTTTACTGTTTTCGTACAATACTCAAGAAGATGATAATTTCCTCAAGCGATTACTCTTTCATTTTATTTTATTTACAAATCATATCATATGCATTTTTGGGGCCCATGTAATATTTTATATATGCAAAAACAAGGTATCAGAATATAACATGACAAATTCATATCTTCACCTCTATGTATATACAAAATATATAAAAATAATATGTTGCTCATTATCCATCTATGTATGGATAATTTATTGTTTATTATTCATTTGTATATACACAATGTATTGTCTATTTCTGTCGCGTCAGGAACGACCAGGAGACAGTCTTCTCATCAGGACTTTATTGTACAGCTGCTTCCGCCCTTCTTCCCATCCCGGTCCCCTTAAATAGGAGTACCCACCAATCAGGGCACTGTTCACGTATGCGGAACTAGTCCTGATAGGTCGCATGCACTGTCCACGCACGGAGGGGCGCGGAGGGATTGGTGGATGGTTGTGATCACGCCTTCCGGGTAATGTACTTCCTCAAAGTTGTTTGCCTCATGTGCTCTCAAGGCACTTCCTCTCAGCGCCATCTTGGGCCACTCGATGGGCGGGGGCGCGCCACAGTTCCCCCTTTTTTGTTTTATAGCAAGAGAGAGCAGAGGAAGCAGCCCCCGTGACTAAGGTGGGGCACTGTGAAGGCACTGGGTCAGATGGGGGCTCCATCTGGCCAAGCACCCACCCGCCCCGTGCTGTTTTGGCGGGGATGGGATGAGGCAGCACTGACCCATATGCAGCTGATCATGCTCTCCTCGAGGGGGTCCCATCGGGGCCTCGAGTGCAGTCGGTGCTGACATCTTGCGCTTAAGGCTTACCCATGGCTACTAGTCACACGTCTAGAGAGGTGCCTGCCTCGAGAGCAGCAAACGCTTGTCTTAGGAGGAAACAGTCCCGGTTGACAAGTGCCCTGAGTTTCTGATACAAGATCGGTCCCAAGAGGCAAATGAGTAGTAAGCTAAAGTCCCCGACATGCAAGTGGTGACTTGATCATAACAGTTTTGGTGGACAGAGGAGACGAATGAAGTCGGCGAAGCTCGGCAAGTGCTGCGGGATTATCTAATCCTCCAGACGTCTCATCAAGAAGGGGGAGGAGAAGGAGAAAGGGCAGCATCCCCGTCATCGCTCCTCGGTGACTCACAGCCATCACAGGGTCCTGTGGAGGGAGAGAGAGAAATCTCAGGGAGCCTAGACTCCCTGGATGGAACAGTGGCCTGTCTGACCAGCCTTTCCGGGACCCATATTGGGTCCGGCTCATTCTGTGGAAAGATGCAGACGGATCCCCTCGACCAGACTAGTACTGGGTCGGGTCCTTTCCATTGTCCTGTCAGTACATCCTTCCAACGCACAAATCCCTTTTCCTGTCGGTCGGCCTCCACATGGCGGTCGGCCGCCGTCTTATGGTTCAGATCCAGTTGCAAAAAATTTAGGGTGAATAGGGCTAGGGAGAGTTGTTGTTTTGGCTTATGTCCTTCCCCAATACCCCCTTTTTGTTTTTTCAAGAGTTCCTTGAGGGTACGGTGTGCTCTTTCAACAATGCCTTGGCCTTGTGGGTTGTAGGGGAGGCCGTGCTTAAGGTCCACAGCCATCTGTGTACAGAATTGTTTGAAGGCTGTTGAAGTATACGCAGGGCCATTATCTGTTTTAAGTATTTTAGGGGCTCCCCAGGCAGCCCATGCCTCAAGGCAATGAGTGATTACATGAGAGGCCTTTTCTCCTGCTAGGGCTGATGCATGAACTACGCCGGAGCAGGTATCTATTGATACGTGGACATATTTTAAGGTTCCAAATTCTGGGACGTGAGTAACATCCATCTGCCAAAGGTGAAGGGGTGGTAGCCCCCGTGGGTTAATACCCCAGTGGGGTGGGTGAATGTATTGACTACAGGCGCCACAGGCGCGCACTATGTCCCTTGCCTGTTGTCTGGTAATGGAGAATTTGTGGGACAAGGTCTTGGAATTGACGTGGAATTTCGAGTGGAAATCTTGGGCCCTTTGAAAGGGAGAAAGGAAGTATGCCAATTGGAGTCGTGTCAATTTGTCGACCTGGTCGTTTCCTTCATGAAGGGGACCCGGTAGGCCAGTGTGTGCCCGAATATGTTGGACGAAGAAAGGGTGTTTTCTGGCTCTGATAACGTTTTGAAGGCTGTTGGCCAAGGCATGGATTGGGGAAGATGCAGAAATAATTCCCGATGCTTCTACCATGTTAACTAGGTTGA